ATTCATTTATACCATTATTTTTTTTAAGGGTCTCTCTCGAACAGAGAATAATTGCAAGATTCTCAATAGAAATTGTGATGAAATCGGAATGATGATATCAGAGAGTGTATCAGGGAAAGTTTGGCATGAATCTTCTCTCTAATATAGAGTATTATTTCAATATGCTTTTTTTTCTAAATTATTTGTCCAGTTTGGTTTTCGTCCCTCTTTCAAATAAGACAATTTGTCCTCATTCTTTCAAAACGGTCGGTTTTAGTCCTCGGAATTTTGGTTTAGTCCTCATTTTGTTGCTAAATGAGGACCAAATTGTACCTTACTTTGAAAGAGAAACGAAAACCAATAGTTTAGGGACTAAAAACATATTTAACCTTTTTTTTTTTAATGTTATTCATGGCATAAGAGAGTGTAATGTATACTTAAGTAATTAAGGAGATATTTTATTCGTTGTAACTCACTGTTGAAGTTAAAACTATATGTCTCAAGTTTTATTAAGTGTTTTATATACCAAGTTACTTTGTTTTTTCTCCTTATTTATGGGTTTCTCTCTATTTAGAGGTAGCTATTTTTCTTATTAATATAATTATTTAATGTAATTTATGAACTACATATAAAAAGTTTTTTTTATATGTATTATGCAATACAATAAATGATAAGTAATAGAATAATATTTTAGGAAGTTTTTTTCTATATTTCATGTTTTCATGAATTGAGATTTTATTGAGGTATTATAAGTTACAGTGATGTCAGAAAGTATCTAGATTAGAAAAGGTTTATAGTAGAACTCAATTACAATTAGAAAAAAAAAATATTATGTTTTGTACAATTCTTGCACATTACAAAAAAATATTGTCTTTCATTCTATAACAAAAACACATAGGTATTCATTATAAGAGAGGTGATAGGAAAAAGCTGTTTTCATAAGCCAAAAATATTCACATCATAAAGTCTTGTTGGCCCACTGGTCACGCCCCATTAATACCTCTGTGTTTCATAATGCACCCCACGCCCCTCCACGTGACTGTGCCATTAATGTGCACTTCATTCTCTGAATATCTTGACAGTGGGTCACATCGGAAGGTTCTGCACTCAATTCTGGAAGACAGTTCAGCACAGGAAGGAACGTTCGTATGAATGGTAAGAGATTAAATTTCTCCTGGAACAACTCTTCCCCCTCTGCGTACACCCTCTTCTTCCCCAGAATTTTAAAATCTCATGGTGAGAAGGAAGGATAAGAGAGAAAAATAAAAAAGGGAGAGAGAAAAGAAAGAAAAGGTAAGAGAAGTCCTATCTAATCCGATTACGTTTCAGAGACCACAGAAACGTTCCCTGCACCAAGAGCTTCAGACTGAACCGAACAACTTACAGTTCTGGTAAGTTTATTTGGACGCTCGTTTCTAGAAGTTCCTGCAAACCCTATTCCGTTGCATGCAAAGGCGTGGACTAAGTCCTTTCTTTTTCTATGGTTAGTTTAGTTGGAAAGCGTAAGTGAAACGCTGAGGGAGTCTCGGTTAGACGAATCAAGATCCACTCAGTTTAGGACGTTCACTACAATCCGGGGTAAGGGAAAGCTTTAGTAATTTAAAGTAATATTTGTTGATGTGTATGGAAATAATGAAGTGTAGGATGTCTGAAATGCATGAAATTTTGATGTTTAAGTAGCATGAACGAGGCATGGTTGCATGGATGTATATGATGAATATTGTTTGAACTATAGCTGAGAATGAAAGTAGATTTTGGAGTATGATTAAATTTCTGTGGTTTGGGATGATAATATGAATTTGGTAATGATGAGATTTATGGTGGAGAGAAATTATAAGTTATTGAATCGTATGAAAACTGTAAAGTTATTTGAAAAATGAAAAATCTAGAAATCTTCATATTCTCTGCTTGATATGTACGCTCGTCATCGAAATGTCTTATACCGGTCGGTTTCCCTTGAATAACATAGAATAAGAATTGTTTCATGTGGAAAGGATTTCTGATTAGAAGAGCGTCCTTGAGATGAAGGGTTTAGGTTTGACGTTCGGCTCAAGCCCCTATCGTGTCCACGATTGAAATAAATTAAAGTATTGTAGTAACGCTCGTTTACATTCCAGAGTTCGTCATAGGTAGCGCTTAGTCTTATACTGAGCGTTCGTCCAAATGAGCTCTCTGTCTTAGATTGAGCGTTCGTCCTAGTCAGCGTTCGGTCTAATACCGAACGTTCGTTCTAAATGAGTGTTCGTTCTATTTAGTGCTCGGTCATTTACCTAGCGTTCGTCCAAAAGCAGAGAGTTCGGTTTTATCACCGAAACGCTCGTCCAAATGAGTATGTGGTAAAGGAACGCTCGGGTCCTATAACCGAACTTCATTATTTCTAAATATCAACGAGCGGTACGGAAATAGCGTTCGTCCCAAATTTGAAATAGCAGTGCTCCTTACTATTAAATAGAGCTCGGTCCACTAATCCTAGTAAGTTTCGTCCAAGATTTCCAAGATTTAAGTGAGTTCGTCCAAAAGTTTCATTTACCGTCGGTCATTGATTGGCGGATTGACTCATGAATTAAATCGTAAAATTTGTTTCGGATTCTTTATTTAAAACAATGGGATGATATGTATATCCACTTGATTCATTCCAGAGTATGGCTTCAATGATTATTCAGTGTTGTTAGGGTCGTACTACTAAAGTCAATTTCATTTAATGCTTCAAAGGAGTCTTTCTCGGTCTGTCCTCGACGTCGTCCTCGTTATGAAGGGGAGTGAAGTTAGTCTTTTTATGCAAGTGGAACATAGAATGAAAAGTAACTAAGAGAAAGAATAAGATGTGCGAACAATATGAAACTGAAATGTGATTATGCGATTTTGAACGAGCGTTCCCAGGGAGGAACGACTCTGGTCGGAAATGAGATTTGTAAGTATGAACGTGGTAAGCTAGGATGGTGGTTCATCCTGATATCCGGTGAGTGCTCGTTCTAAGATGAGAGGAGTATGCATACGTGAGGTGGCAGGAGCGTCTCGTCCATACTGTAACTTGGACAGAACGCAGACTCACCTCAGGTGGCTATGATGAGATTCAGTTACCCCACCTGAGTGCAAGGACGCCTTAGCTACACAGGTTTATACCGTCCGACGGTCGGTGTCTAGCATCAGGGTTGGATGGAATTATTGTAGATTGTATGTACATGTTTGTGAATTTATGATGGAGTTGATAAGTATGAAATATATGTTGACTTTAAATTAAATTCATAAGCTTACCCTTGCCACTTCCTTGCGTGTCGGTAAGGGGTATCGTCTGGTTCCTTGCCATGATCATCCGTGTGGAAGTGTGAGCAGAAGTTATTTCCCTGGAGCAAACACTTGAAGAAGAAGTCCTAGCTGAGGAGAATCTCGTTGAAGTGGAAGTGAAGGCCGAGCGGTAAAGAAGTTCGGTTTTCAGTTAGTATATTTGGGTAGCGAGCGGCTGTGAGCGAGCGCTCTTTTGGGGATTGTAAATAGTTGAACGTTCGGCCAATATTTTGTAAACCGTTCGTTCTAATTCTTTTGTGAACGCTCGTTATTTTTGTGTGTATATGTAAGGCCGTTCGGCCATTTTTTCACACTGCTCTCTTTAATTGTAAAACTGCTATATAATATTAATACATGTTAATATTCTATTATATAGTTGCTGACTGTATAATTTTGGGATGTTACTTTGGTATCAGAGCAGTTTTGGTCTATAAAAGGACACTGTAGGATATGAGGTGCAGGGCTTTTGCTGTGTGTTATTTAGGTTTGGTGTGAGTTATTGTTTTTTTTTAACTCTTAAACATTTGAACGTTCGTTTTTCTCTGGCTCAGAGAAACAAATGGCAGCATAGACTTTCCTCCTCCTCCACCACCCAATGGACCAGATACGTCCGACAGTGCCAGGTTGTTGGAAACTGTGACTTCGAAACGGTTTGCAACACCAAAACGCTACCACTAATGGAGCCAGGAACGAAGCTGCTTAAGAAGTTTGAGGCAGCACGCGAGAACTCTGAAGCCACTCAGAGACAATTAATGGAACTCATCGCCGCACCAGGGGCACACCAGGAGCGTCCTCCTCAAGCCGTTCATCATACCGAGTGGAGTTTGGAGAAGTTTTCTTCAACACCATCCGGCCAAGTTAGTGGGAAAGTCTTCCGGATGAGGCAGATCAGTGGACTGCCAGGTATGGAAGGATTGACAAGCCAAGAGGTGTCCAGATGAGAATCGTTTGGTTTCACGATATGTACTTACGAGAAGCAAGCCATTGAGTGGGCGAGGCGAATATAAAAAGATTTAATCCAATTTAAATCCTGTCATCCTTATGGTCACAAATTTTATATCATCAAAAACTTTGTAATGGGCAAGTGTTTTGCCATAAAATATTGCAAGAGGTGCATATAATTTAGACATATATCTACATACACGTATTTTCTCTGGTAAACATACTTTTATATAGGTCCGAAAACCCCACTTCAGCTGCACTGCTGCCAAAAGGGAGCAGACACTGGAGGGGGGAGAAAGAGAAAAAATGCATCTTCAACTGTGATGCAGCAAGAAACCACTCAGGAGTTGGAAAGGTTATATGGCCAAAAAGGAAAAGGCATAGGGATATGCAATAGCCTTATCTAATTACTATGCATTAACCTATAAGTTTATGTATGTCTGTACCCATGTCTACCTCTTATCTCATAACAAAACTAAACATAGATTAAATGCAAACGGCCCGAGATTCAGATATTAGTCAAAGAGAATTATTAACACTAGGATGTTCCCCATAGTTAACACTCTAATGGTTAAATATGAATCTATATAGTACGTAATACAAGACTAGAAATGGTTAAACCAGAATGAGCACCTCAGTTCTCCTTAAGAAAATCAGCCTCACTGAGGACATCTTAGCCTAACCCCCTCCAAGCGTTTTAAGACAGGCTCGTAGATTCAATGTCCGGTTACATCTTTCAACTCTTTATCAACGTTATCGGACAAAATCCTCATGGCAAATCAGGCATAAAGCTGTCAAACCGTAACCTACCAAAAAAAACACAGACATTATTACCCAATAACCAAAAACCCTTTATTAAAATACATTCAATATTTACGTGTTCAGTCAACAACCTGGGTCTGCGTCGTGGCAATCTCAAACGCTCGAGTCAAGACAGTAATAGTGGAATTAAACCCAGAGTTATGGAGGCTGCAAATGGCCACCAGAATCAGCCCGGCGCCAGGTGAATGAGCCCCGCCTCCATCCGTCCCCGATTCAGACTTGTACACAACCACAAACGACTCCTCCATCGCCTTTCCAGGCTGTGCAGCGGCGGCGGCGGCAGCATCACCACGTGGGCGATGAGCATTTCCCTGAGCCTGGGGTCTCTGCTTGGGAAGCACAACATACGAATTGTCCATTTTAGTTGCACTCAGCACACTGCTGGCACCATGAACGGACGACCCTTGCATCCCTATACTCATTTTCTCTTCGTCAAAAATTAAATCACCACAACACAACTATTCACTGATGAATGATCACAATTCACTCAAAACCAATGCCGATACCAACATTATTTCAAAATCAACAACGTAAGCAACTGTATAAATCAGCCAGATCAATAACATGAGACAATCAATTAAATTAACAAAACAATAATAAAACCCTAACTAACCGGAGCGAGAAGGATCGTTGAAGAATTTGTCAGCGTAAGAGTCCACGCCGACGATGCAGAGAGGGTTGCGGCAGTTCTGGCAAACCCATCGGGGAACGTTCGGATCCACCGGGAAGGTCCGAGTCCGACCCTTATTATCGCCCTTCTTCATCGTTTTCTTTAGTTCCTTCACTGAAGCCCGATTCGACGATTCTTGATTTATATTACAGAATAATGAAAAAGAAAACAGAAAAGGGTAACAATAATATGGGGCCTGGGTGAGGTGATTTAGGTGACAGACAGTAATCCAGGCAACTGAAAAAGGTGAGAATATTCCGACGAAGCAAGTAACTGAAAGCTGATCCCTAAGCACAGCACAATTTAGTACGGGTCATTATTGGACGAGTTGGTGGATTCGGGTGGGGCAAGGTCCGGTTCAATAACCCAAACCTCTGGTCGCCTTTAATTTCCTGCACCCCATAATTAGTAAACGCACCCAATGAATACTAAAACATTATATATATATATATATATATATATACTAAATAATATATATATATATATATATATATATATATGAATGACAATAGTTCTAGTTGGATGCGGGTAGGTCTATCTGTTACCTGAATAAAAAATTATATGTTATTTATTTCATAACTTATTGGATATTTATTTAAAAATTTAATACTTGTGAGTATCGATAAATATTTTATAAATTTTTAAAATAAAATTATAAAAAAATATAAAATATAATATAAATTAAAATTAATATAAATTAAATTTTAATTTTAATTTTAATTAAATTAAATTTAATAAAATATAAATTAATTTCAATGTTAATTAAATTTAATTTAATAAAATATAAATTAATTTTAATTTAATTCTTTATTAAATACTACAACATATTTTTTTATCAATAGATATTTTTTAAATAGATATTCACTTGAGTAAGGAAGCAGTAGTAGAGAAGAGTGTAGTATTTATTACGAGTTAAATAGTGAACCTAATCCTTATCAGTTTTATTAACTAGAAACATAAAATTAAAAAAAAAAACTTCAAGGGTATAATAGTAATTAGTGAAATAAAAGGTTAAATGACATACAACTCTCACACTATAAGCAATGGTAAATGGATAAATCCAATGGGTTTTTGTTAAAAAAATAGTTAATAAATTATAAAACTAATATTTCTCAATAAATTATGACAAAAATAATTTAATTTTTATTTGAGTAATTTTTTCATAAAACTAAACATAAATGTATTTTTCAATAAAAGTTTAAAAGCTATCACTTTGTAAAAGCCTATCTCTGTGAGATTTCTTTCCTTTTCTCAATCAAAAATTTAAAACTTTAAAAAAGGACACTAGCAACAAATTTGATTTTGAAGTAGTTATTTAATTTTAACTGAAAAGGGAAACTCCAAAAGAAAATAGGCTGATCAGTGTGGTGCTAAACTATTTTTCATAAACTTTTTTTGCTTCTTACCTATTCATTGATGAGCACCTACGCAAAGTGTTCCGACACTAGACCATAAATAGACTAGATCTGAAAAATTGTTAATTTCAATAATAAAAAAACATATTTTTAATGGAGAATGTAATTTATCCATATTAAAAATAAAAACCGCGTACAACAAAATCTTATTTATGATTTTAAAAAAACAAAAAATATTATTTATATTTTAAGAATTTTTATGTATTTAATTAAAATTTATTGTAAACATATAGGCTTTATTTAGTTATTCTATAAAAAAATGTCAAAACGCACCCTTTCTATTGAGATAAACTAGTTGAAAACATCAATACTTAAATATTTTTGCCATTGCACCTTTCTTAAGCATGTGCTTTAGCTCAACACCACACAAACAAATATAAAAAGAAAAATCTATGTCACTTTCAATGCTCACACATCTTATCGTTGTCCACCAAATTATAAACAACCAAAACTCTTTCTCTTTCGTGTTCGTTTATATAGAGAAATTATGTGATGCTCTTTAAATTTTGAAAGTTTTGATAGAGTTAGTTTTAATACATCAAAAGTTATTAAATTGCTGTCTTTTTGCTATTGTTTCATTTAATATTAAATACATTGCATTTGTAATACCCGTAATATTACCTCCAAACCCCACTGTTACAATCGGGCCAAAATTTAATGCGCCTAAGAACCCTGTCGGAGTTTCATTAAAAACGCACCCAAACTTTGACACACGGGACGACAGGTGTGGTTAAATGATAATCTGGAATCAGTTAGTGGAGCTCAAGTGGCGCGAGGAGAATGACGCTCGTCTACGTGGGAAGAGAAATGATTTTTCAGAAAACCCTCTTCCCATTCCCACTCTTCTGCAGTGCTTCTTCTTCTCCCCAAGATTTATAACTTTCAAATTCCTTCACCTTCTCTCTAGAAACCTACCTTCTCTCTACGGTAACTACCACTATCGTTCGTCCATTCGAATTCAGAAACCGTTAGGAGCATCCTCGGAGTTGGAGCTTCAATCGGAACCGAATAGACCATTTCTGAAACCGGGGTAAGTCTCTCGACTCTGGACGCTCGTTTCTGAGTTACATGCAAACCAACAGTTGGCTGCATGCAAGGGTATCAGCTAAATTCTTCTACATTTTTTTGGTTAGATTTAGTGAAGAACTTTAGAGAATCGTTGAGGGTAGAAAACTGTTGTGGACGAGTCAAATTATTAGACGTTTCAGTCACGAACCCAGGTAAGGGAAGCTTATTAAGTTTAATTCTTGTATTGTGTTGTGATGTATGAAGTTACATGATTTTATGAAGCATGAAATATGTATTATTTGATCTTTGGGTATATGGATTTTGATGATGAGGGATATATGAAAAATTATGAAATGTGTATGGTAGAGTAGTTAAAATGTATGAGAGGTTTATATTGGAAAATGAATTACTGTAAGAGAGGTTTTGAATATGAAATTCTATGATAATGAACGTTCGATTATCGAACGGTCTTTGACCGTTCGGTATTTAGTAACTCTTTTGATAAATAGAATTCTTTTATTCTGAAGGAGTCCACTGAGGACGAACGCCCCTACTTATGTTAGTCTTATGTTTGAGCGTTCGGCCAAACGTAGATATCCGTGAGTGTTGTCGTGAGATATTTGAGAAGCATTGAAATTTTACATTCGGACACTTAGCCTTTTTGTTAAAAACATAACTTTACCATCTCGTCTTATATAAATCCCATCTTTCTATGATTTTGAATCAGTGATGGGTCTCGACCCAAAGCGTACGTCTTAAGTGGCGCTCGGTCTTATACCGAACGTCTCGTCCCAAAAATGTAATGATAAGTAGCGCTCGGTCCTATACTGAACGCTCATTCTTTCGTAATTATCAACGAGCTGAAATAGCGTTCGTCCTGAATTAAATGTAGCTAGTTCGTCCTAAACTTCAGTAAATTCACGTATCGCGTTCGGTCATGTTATGGCAGTCGGTTATTCTAACTAAATTGTACTTAGTACATTTAGTACTCGTCTTTGGTATCTCCATTTAATTTGATTGACTATGAATCTTGGTCTTTGAATTATCTAAGTATAAGTTGAATCGTTCTAGAATAGTTCATTAACTGTTTAATGTTGTAATGACTTCAGTCAAAAAGATGCGGTCAGCTTTATCCCTTCGGAAAAGAAGTCTTTCAGTCTCACTCTCGACGTTCGTCCGCGTTAGAAGAGGATGGACGCTCGTCTTTTGATGGAAGTGGAACATAGAAGGAAATGTAAATAAAAAGAATGTATTATGATAGTGCGAACAGTTACAAGGAGATGAAATTATGTTTATGGATTTTGAACGAGCGTTCCAGGGGGAATGACTCTGGATGAAAGTTGAAATTATAGTAATGTAGAATGTGGACAAAGCTGAGCGACGTTCATCCTGATGTTCCGTGAGTACTCGTCTCACGTAGAGGGAGTATTGTACTGTGTGGACAGGAGGAGGTCCTAGTCCTTAGGGGTACTTTGGATGGAAGGGACTAACCTCGGGTGGCAGCTGATGTTAAAATGCCAGTTACTACACCAACTGGGTGCACGAACGTAGTAGCTACACAAGATTCATACAGTCCGGACGGTCTGTCTAGTATCAGTAGTTGATTGAGAAATTGAATGAGTTAAACTATATATATATTGGAATTTATTGACATGATTGATATGTTATGAAATGTGTTATTTACTTGGATTAAATTCAATTAAGCTTACCATCGTTTTTCTTGTGTTGTCGTCTATTGTACGTCCGTCCTGTCTATGCGATGATCATCCTTGTGGATGTGAGCAGATGGGGAGGCGTTGCTTGAGGAAACGTTGGAAGAAGAAATTTTGGAGGATGCAAACTTAGTGGAGGTAGAAGTGAAGGCCGAACAGTAATATGTTCGTTATGTATTAGTTTTGCTAAGTAGCGGGCTGCTTTAGAACGAGCGCCCCATTTTCTTTCTGCTTATATTTGGTCGTTCGGTCGTTTTGTTTACTGAACAAATTGTAAATTTTGTAAAGTTAGGAAAGAACGTTCGGTCACTTGTAAGCTTAATTACTGTAATTGTAAGACTGATTTGGATATCATTAAATGTAATCAATTCTACTATATTTTTGGGATGTTACACTTTGATCTGGTCTCTATTTGACTAAAATATTTAAAAGTTATAATTATTGCAATTAAATCATTTAATTATTTATTTAAAAATTATTAGATAAAAATTTGATTTGACATGCTTAACTGTTAGAAAGTTCTACCCTTATCTATAATACTAATTTATGAGAACAATGTTGAAAGAATGGGCACAGGATTTATGGGAAGAGGTTAGATGGTGTTAGTGGGTTGGTGGGGGGGTATGGGTAGTGATGGTGAGAGGGGGTGTGATGAGTTAATTTTTGAATGTAAATCAGATGATTAGTTGAATGGGGAGGTTGAATGATAGAGGTTTAGGTATTGGGGGATTATGATGGGTAGTATGATAGTTTTTAGGGAGAATTTAGACAATAGAGAATTGTTTAAATTATTTGTAGGTTGTTAGTTATCTGTATTTGTATTTATAGTAATCATTTTGTTAAAAAACATAGTTTTAGTTATTGTTTGTTGATATTCAAATTAGAGATTTAAAATTTTATATAATTCTTTTTATGAAATTTATTATTGTTTATATATTTAATGTGTTAACTATGTTTTTTTATATTATTAAGTGATTTTGATTTTAGTTATTTTTCAAAACTTATTCTAATTAGTCCTTATTTTTTATAAATTCGATGAAATTAGTTTTCATATTACAAAAAATTTGTGATTTTAGTAGGGATTCGTTTTTTTATACCGACCGTTTTAACTCTAGTAAATGCAATTCTGTTTGTTGACAAAATTGCTGGGAAAATCACCGTTGCAAATAATTTTTTGCGATTTTGTCAAAACATCATTATTTGCGGAGTTTCTATAAAAACCGCTGCCCTTACAGGATTTTATGAAAATTGTACTAGTTGTGGGGGGTTTGCAAAACGCGACGATAGTTGTCGGGCTACTTAAAATCGTCTTACATGGATTGTCTAAATCTGCGGGGTCTTGTGTATGTTGTCCAAAATCGCCGAAAATTTCTAAGTTTACATACTTTGGGTTAAAAAACCGGTAATGCAACTAATTTAATTTTTTTTAATAATTTAAATGATTTGCTTAATTTGATTAATAAAAATTATGATTAGTAATATAATAATTTGAAACCAAAAGTAATTAATATTATATAAAATAACTATGAACATTAAAAATACAAATATTTTATCTACTTAATAGTTCTTCATGGAACAAGCTTTAAAACATGTTATATCTACATTTTCATTTCATTTCATGTCTCAGCTGCAACTACTTCACCATTGGTTTTCTCTTGAATTGCACTCTTCCATCGTCGCCTTCGGCTTAAATTTTCATTCTCCTAGTCAATTGCACGTGGTGGGCTTGCTAATAGAGTTTCTCATCGTGTGCAATGTAATTAGAGAGATTAAATAACACACCCTCCGTGGGTGCATTTGAACCAACTCTGTGATAAAGAGTTTCATTCACGGTCACCAAACCATTTCAAAAATATACAAAACTTAATATCACTTTCTTATTAGTAGATTCAGATTATGAGCATTTAATCTTATGCATATACTATTTTAATTTGTTCAACTAACTTATAACTTATTGATAGTAACAACAATTATCAATTAACATTCTAACAAAATACCTGACTTAAGACATTTTAGATTACAATTTACAATTGACTCACATTTCTCGAGGAACACATAACCTTAACTTCATCAAAAAAAAGCGACAACGGACAACAACGGTGACAGTGCACAGTGACGACGAACGACAGAAGGACAAAAACGTCAATGACATACAATGATTTGACTCTTGATACCAACTTGAAAATCTCCTCCTTCAGTGTTCCTCTGCAAAGAAGACAAATTGTTAGGTCTCTGTAACAGTACAATGCAAATCACGTCGGTTGATAAGCGCATACACTAAAAAGTCCTTTTTTTCAAAAAAAGCCAAGCATAAGGGAGGGAAAGTGTGTATCTGTTGATGGATAAAACTCAAATTTTCAAATACATACAAAATTTGTGTTGGTGGTGAGCAAATTCCCTCAAGGGGCATTTTTAACTTTATTTGTATTGTGCGGGATATCGTATTCACTTTATTACTGTGTTCAGCACACAGCTCAGAACTATCAGTAAACAACTGTACATATAGTATCTTCCATGACCAAAAATTGGTTCGAAAATTTACAAAACTAGTCGACAAATAACCAATCTACACGCTTACTCCAGAGGAATAAGACATAGTTTATTTTAAATAATTTTTTATTACACACAGTGGATATTAGAGCAATCATCAAATAATTGGTGGTCATATGCAATGCAGAGCAACAATACATAAACCCATCAACCATAATTCGACTTAAACAAAATTTCGTATATGAAGTTCAAAAAAGTAGTCTACAATTTTCACAAATAATTTCAAAGCATAAAATGTCTACCTTTCGCTTGTGTAATGGCGCTCTTTCTGCCTGCTCCCTTTACCAGATCCCATACTTGCGTCAGTTCTATCTTCAAAGGGTAATGTTTTGATTTCATCATAGAACTTTTGGTAGACCTTGCAACCTGAAATAGAAAAAGCACACAAAGCTAAGAGGAAAAAAATGTATTTAAACAAAAATACTATCACACATTTAATTCTTTTACTTGTTAGGAATGGGAAAACAAAAGGAAAAACATTCCAAAACACTTCCCCTACCCATTTCTTGATTTCTTCAAGTATTTTCTCGCTTCCTCTCCTGTTCGTAAGGAGACACGAGTGAACATCTCCTCCTCTTGCTGAGCGCGTTTTCTCCATCTGGGGACCAATCTATCACAATTCCTTTGTAGTCCTCAAAATCCCCCACCTGAGTAGAGTAGTGAGCCCAAAAAACACATTACGTAAATCATTAATGCAAGTTCGCGATAATAGTTCAAAAATATTCTTAGGAGTTAAAAGTACTTCGAGAAGGATGCTCTCTTTGTACATTTGAGTCTGAAAATACTTTTGAAGGAGTTTAAACTGAAACCCAAGCATACTATAAGTCATAATGATTCAGCAATAAAATAAATTTTACCTCTTCAGGTCTTTCCTCCATATCATTCATCAATGTCTGATATAATCACTCTGCTTAGCTTGTTTCAGAATTTCTTTTTCTCTTCCGCAAGGCATTTCTTTCATGCTTAGAAGGTTTTTCTAGATCCATAGAAGTAGGGGCAAACTTTACAGGTTGATGTATGTATCATGTCCATCCTACATCATATTAATAAAAGTAGTAGATAGACAGGAAAATACCCTTTTTCAAGATTTTACCACCTGCGTACACCAAATTTTACACCATTTATAATATCACATATACACTGACTGACGCAAGGTTAAGTCACTTTGCTAACTAGCATGTCAGGATTGGGACGTACTTTGATGCATCCTCACTCTTATTGGACGCATCTGGCTCCGTACTTTGAATATCACTTTGGCTGCATTTTCACCAGCCTGACTAGTTTCTGGATTGGTATTGTTGTTTTCTGTCAATTGGCCGAATCTGCAATGGAAACCAGGAAGTCAAATGGTTAACACATAATACAATGTAAATATACACATGGAAGCCCTTGAAGATCAACACACAGAAGGATAAAACTATACCTTTTCCAAAAACAATCTTATCTCTACAACACTTCGAACAACAGGGTGATCTTCTATTGATAACCCTTTAGCTTCCGCATAAATAATAAACAAGGGTTGACATAATTCAAAAGCAGCAAATTCTTAGCCTCAAGGTAGCTAAATCCATCAGCTGTAGGATACTGACCTTCTTTCACCTGGTATAAGAAACATCGAGAGACACAATAATAATAATAATCATATCATTCATTGATATGAGGGTATATTTAGCTATAACAGAAAACTTATAGAATCCCCAAAAAGGCCCAAATTGCGAAACTTCATGTCCAACACAACAGAAAAACTTCTCTTTTAAAATCTTAATATTATATGAATTTGAAATGACGTTAACGGAGTCCTTAAAAAAAATTACTTGAATGAAAAAAGGGCACTCACTTTGGCAGTTAAAGATTGAACTTTAAGCCTCACAGTATCGACCCTTCCTTCATCTCTTTTCAACAACGCCGCAAGTTTAGGCGATTCTCTGCGAAAAACGACAAGATTTTTAAAAGATAAAGGCTCCAATTTATTACTTTCGTATCAGAAAATTTGAAGCAAACACAAATTGATGCACGTTCAAGGAAGAGGAACAATTCAAAAAAACCTACTTCCTTGATAACGTCTCATTAAATGCTTCGCACTGCTTTCCATGACTTGAGATGATTTTCTATAATCTCCAATCCTGAACCTTCTTTTGTAGGAATGTGGAGTGATTAAAATTGATAGAAACAGAAATTAAATTATTGATGAAGAAAGGTTAAGGGAGAAAAATGAACCGAGAGGGAGGAGAAAGATTCAACGACCAAAGACAGAGAGAAGGTGACGGCTTCTGGCGGTGGATGGTATTGAGAATGAGATACTGCGACGGAGGAAGGGATTTGCGAAACTGAGAACGGGGCAAGATGGGTGACCAAAGAAACCTTTTTTTCTTAAAAGTTATAATTATAATTTCAAGGTCATAAACCCAGGAAAATAATCATACATACATCTGCTACCAATATATATATTTTTATTTGTTCATTTAGAGAGTTTCATTTTCTCGAATAATATATATATATATATATATAGATATATATATATATATATAATTTATATAAACAAAAAATAATAATAATGATGATCAAAATTTTATTTTAAATACTAATTATAATTGAAATAATAATAATAATAATAACATATAGTTGAAAATGATATAATTATATTTTTAAATATCGCTATATCAATATATAACCACAATATAAATTCATTTAAATATAGAGCGATGTTTCTAGGGGATGGGATGATCGAAAGTGTACAATGTGCTGGGTAGAACGTCAAAACTTATGAATTGTGGCATGAAAACAAGACATTTGTGTAATAAAAAGTCGTGATATTGAAAAAATAGAAGCAAAATTGAATTTCACTATCACTGGTTTCCAACTTCAAAGTTGTTATTTTACTATTTTAAGTTTGTCACTTGGAGGTATCTTATGTTGTATTCAAAAATTAATAATATGTGAAGGATTTTGAAGAGAAATCAACAAGGTCCTCTTGTACACGAGAAATTTTAAGTTTATGCAATATAAAAATAAAAAAACTTATAATAATATTATTATTACTTAATAAGAAAAGTAATTGTGAGAAAGTAAATATTATATGTTTTATTGAGATTTGGACAAATGTACATTTTTTGTGTTCATTGTTGAAAATGATTGTTGAGAGGAGGTGACAAACCTTTTATGCACTTAGATCTTTGGAAGAAACATGATGTCATTTGGACGCATTTGGGTCAATAGAAGACATTTCTCTTGGCGAAAGATCTATGAATTTGTTTTCTCTTCACTGGATGATACCAGAATGATTTTAGTTGTTGGAATGTAAAATTTATTAGTATTCTTCATGTTTTTGCTTGGACAAATAACTTTGCTCCTATATCAATGAAACTCATGAGAACTCATGTTGGGTTTGTACACATGATCTTTCTTTGAAATATTGGCAATTGAAAGTGATTATTTTCATTGCATATGGAATTGGCACACCTTTATCTTTAGATTATTACATCAAGAATAAGTCTCATGGGATTTTGACTTATGTTTAAATTACCTAATCACATTCTGATAGAAAGGTCATTATCTGCATTTTATTATTATTGATGTGAAATATGAGAGACTATCTCTATTTGATTAAAATTGTAAAATGATTGATTATGATTTATCTAATTGTAAAATATTACCACAATATATCAAAGCTAATTTTGGTAACAAGAAAACCATTTGTACAAAACTACAACAACATTATTGTCACGATCCTTCAAAAAATAGTAAAAATTTGTTGTGACAACAATGAAATATACATGTCAATGCAAGAAAGATTTGTTGTGACAACTAGGAAATTGTTTCAAAGAATGATAAAAATTGAACTCTTGTGATCAACTTTATTGTATAAATTCCTATAGCAGTTAAATAAGACAAAATGTAAAAAAAAAATTGCCTAAAGAAAGTCGTTAAAAAAACAATTCTATTATTAATTGTCATAAATTATGAACAGACATACCTATCATACCATTAACTGCATATTTAAAATATATAATTATTGGCAATCATTCTATAACATATAGGTCTAAGATGAAAACTTTTAACTTTTTTATATCGGGTATCTACACGTTCATCATATTATTTAGTGCTAGTTCTTTTTTTCTTTTTACCATAAAATATGATATTTAAAAATTCATATATTTTCAACAATTAATTAATAAACATCGAAAATAATATATATATATATATATATATACTCTTTGAGGAAGAAGTGGATAATAACAAATTGTGTGTGAACATATTATTTTTCATTTACAGTAGTTACATTTTTGAGCTAGACTTTCTTCTTCGAATTTTGTTAAAATGAGTTAAAAATAAAAGTAATGTATTTTGTTGGAAATCAAAGTATGAGTCTAAGTCTTATATTGGATAAAAATGAGAAAGTAGAACACTATATAAAATTGAAAGACCCATTGACCCATTGTCTTAAGGTTTTTGATATAGGGTGGTATCGACCCCTTATATAGTTGGACTCATATCTCACTGGTATTGTGTCTCCGGTGAACTTTCTCCTCAGACCGAACATATGTTATATACATAGTATAATAAAATAGTTATAAAAATATAAAATTTTATATTTTTTTTAAGAAGAAAGAGCGTAAAAAATTAGAAAAATAATATTACTTAAATGTAAAAAATTTAGATGTGTGAAAAAATTATTTATAAAAAGTAAAGTGACGTAATATTAGGTGTTATACACAACAGCAGAAGCAGAAGCAGAAGTGCAGAAGAACCAAACTGCCCCGAAGGAGAAAACGGTTTATGATTTGAATTTGATTTTGATTAATGTTTGATTGTATAAGATGTGAATGCTAAAGTTGATTTTTCTTCACGGATAATATGGACACAACCACGCCAGGCCCATCTGAAAGCGACCCCTTAAGCGACCCAAGCCACCAAACAGATCCTTCGTGGGGCCCACACAGCTCACAAGCTCTCCAACAAAGAAAAATCCCAAAACGACACTGCCAAATCGTAAAACGCAAAATCTAGAGGGAGAAGACGTAGCCAATGAAATTTGAGTATTTGATAGAGCCATTTCTGACCACTACTTCAGATACGTTTTCACACACACGTGTCGCACGCATGAGACCCACCTTCTAATTGTTAACCAATCGCCTACGCACGTGACGTCACGTGCAATCGACTCCATACCATACCATACCATTTCTCTCTACATCTTATTCTGTTTCTTCTACTTTCTCGAAACTCCGTTACTGCTTTGCTTTGGTGAAGGTCTGCGCTTCTTCTTCGATTTTTCTTACTTGTTGCATGTTTGTTTGTTCCTCTGTTGATCAGTGAAGTGTGAAGCGACGCCATTTCGTTCTCAACTTGGTTTGATGGAGTGCGTTTCTCTGTGATCTCAAGGGGAATCCGGCGATGATTGTGTTAATGCGGTGCCTGATGCTTGATTCTGGTTTCGCTTTTGCGGTTTTGTTTCCTCGAATTATATGAAATGTTTGATTGGAACGACGAAGAGGTGTGTACATTTTTTCAACATTTTACTTTTCTTTTGGAATTTTTTAGTTTATTTTTTTTGTTAGTATGTGATCCATTTTCTAGTGTAATTTTGTTGGTATTAGTAATCCTGCTTAGTTTCTTGTTGTTACATGCTTATGTCGTGCAAATATTGGGATGTCGTGGAGGCCTAACCCTTAGCTAGAGATAGGTAGAGAGAGACAAATATTGTTTAATTGTTTAGATGGCCATAGCGTTCCTTACACGAGTGGCTTGGGTGATGAAAATGTCGAGATATGGTCAAATGCATGAGACGGCCTATTAGCCCTCTTTAGGAAGAAGCCTTGGAAACTAAGTCACCATCATGACCATCTAATTTGAGATTGGAACTAGGGGAGTGGAAGATGGCATGGCACTAAAAGGCCACTGTCACTGTAATCAGGGAACTAAGGCACTTGGCATAGTCATGATAGCTGCTATTGTAAAAGTCTCACCCCAATCTCACTGATTATGATCCTTCGTAGACTGGGGGAAAAATGCTTTGACGAGTCCTGGTCTGGTGGAGTCCAAGCCAAGAGAAAGGACCAAATCATTCTCTAAACTGTTGAATGAAATTTTACTTCAGCAGCTGAGATTCACAGATCCGCCAGATTCTTCCCTCAAGTCCTGAACGACAGAATCCTGAGCAAAGGTCGGTGGCAGGTTGAAGAAGAATGAGAGGAGAAGTAAACATTAAGAGAGAGAGAGATTCTTTGGTTGTTGAACCTTGGAGCCACCGTGCATTGCCCACAGTTGGTAGAAAGTTGTGAAGAGAAAATTGATGAACAATTTATTTTCTCAGGAAAGGGAATTTTGAGCATAAAGAATGAAAAGAGAAGGGTAGAGAATAGAGATCTCAGTTAGCAGGATGCAGTGGGTGAGTAGGCGGAATAGTGATGAAAGTTTCAAGTATCGTCAAAGGTAGTATGAGGTCTGGGAGTGCATCAAGAATTGTGTGATGCACAAGTAGTGAGTGGTTCCTAAGTCAACAGTAAATAAATAATAATTGTGCTTTGGCTGGTTGAACCCATTGGCGTGTAAGATGGATGATTTTTCACAAAAGCTATGATGACTTGTTCAACATGTGAACAAGATTTTTATTGTAAGTGGAATATCCTAATGGTAAATGCCTGTAGAAATAATTCTCCATTCAAGAAAGCCTGGTTGGCCTCTAGCCCTAAAAGGTGCCACTGTTTGGCTACTCCAACCGCTAACAAAACTTGAACAGAAGTGAGATTTGCAACAGGTGAAAATGTGTCTGAAATCAATTCCAGCTTGTTGTGTGTATCTGTCCACCACCAAACAGGACTTGTATTGATCATTGTTACCGTCTGGTTTATATTTCAGCTTATATATCCAATGACATCCAATTCAATTTTTGTTGGGATGAAGTGGTGCTATGGACCAAGTTTACACTCTAAATCCTGTAATTACTCCTTCATAGCTCTTTTCCATTCTGGATATATTACTGCCTGGTGGCAATAGGTGAATTAATAGGTAGTGGAAATTTGGCAGTTTCTGTTAATTGGGGAAAGTTTAGCATAGACAAGGCAGTTTTGGTTAGGATAAGAGATGTTGTTTGAATGGGTAAGATAGGAATAATCTTTTGGGCAGGCTGGGGTTTTGGTTGGTCAAATTGAAGCTGGATTTTAAGTATGCTGTGCAGGCGAGTAATTATAGGATCAGATCTCAGGCCACAACAAAATTCAGTGGTTAAACCAAATCACCTTCAATCTAAAGTTCCTATCTCTTTTGGGGGAGAATGTGTCTCTACAGCTGCTTGTATCATCGATTGACTTCCTTCTCTAGTCTTTAAACAACAGTTACTCTTTGAGATTTTGTATCACAAATTATTTTAGTGTGGGTCGATGAGAGCTTTTGATTTCCTGTGGTATGGAGCCACCTTAAAATTACAGTGAGACAAGTTCACTCCTCAGACATCACCTGTAGTCTTGATTTTCTATCCCCTTCTTTACAAGGCTTTATAAGCTGTAATACCATATCAGAACAGTAGCTCAATGGAGGATGAAGAGAACAATNTAATACCATATCAGAACAGTAGCTCAATGGAGGATGAAGAGAACAGTTCTAGAGAGAAAGAGAGAAGTAATGAGCAGTTATGGGTGGTTACAAAATAGTGTAACCTCCAAAAATGACAAAATAAAGAGAAATAAAAAACAGAAAAAGTGATAAAACTATATTACAATATAAGAAAAACAAACAACAAACATATGACATTAATAAATACAACCAAGGTATGTAGATAGGCCTGTCAAAATGTTTAGGTATTATATAGGTCATCATTATGTTGATTCACATGTTACATGTGGCTAGAAAGTGGAAATGATGGATGGTGAATAAATGACTCTACACAGTTGGGTATGAATCTTCTCCTTGTGTGGGCAATTAGCTATGGGTGCAAAACTAGTGATACTAATAAGGTGAGATTTGTACCCTGGACCACTACCACTAATCCATAATATGATGTTAGCCCAAGTAGACTAGTTTGAACCATCCAATTTCTCAATGGAGGGACAGAAGTTTTTGAAAAATAGTAGTGTCTACCATAGATGAGGCAGAAGAGCCAGCGGAGGCCAACCCAAGAAAAGAAGTCTGAACCAAAAACGACAATCATTGTACTTGATACATGTGACACAATCAAACCAATTAGAAGGAGGCAAAACTTAAAGCTTTGTACACTATCTCATTGGCATGAGTAGCTAAAAGTTATAACAGGGGAGTAGTGAACTGATCTGACGATCACTCCAATATCCATTAATCACAACCATATTACAATTTTCGACTTGATAATACCAAATTAGTTGGGTGTTTCACTGAAATACACAATTAAATTGGGGATATCCTTCATTGGTTGAAATGTTGAGTGTAGTTGGTAGTAAAGTTTTTGTAAATTTTATGTCTTTTTCACTTGCTTTGCACATTACTATTCTTCCTGGTGTCTATTTATGTTACTACTGTCAACATCTAGAGTGTACTTCGTTAATGGTATTTTCAAACTAATCATTAATGATGGACTGTTTTCAGCTAGCTAACATAATATGGGGTGAAGGAGGTGAGAGTGATGATCATATTGTGCCTTATCCAGAGATAAATAAAGATGTTAGCAACAAGAAAGAATTCAATCAGGAAGCTTCTACAACTAAGCTCACGGAGTTGAAGAGACCAGAGGCTAAAAGTGATTTTTATGAAAGAAAGCTTGGAAGCAGTTCCAACCTGGATAATAGTGTAGAATTACCTGTCTCAGGATATGGAACAGATGCCTGGCCTGACTTGTCTTTGTCCAGTTCAGCTAAAATTGATCAGGGAACCCTTGGTACTGAAGTATCTAAAAATTTCAGAGAACTTGGCAAATTCAGTTCAAGAATTGGTAAAATTGCTATTTACTGGAATTCTGACCAGAAACCTGTGAATTCATTTTTGTGTTTATGTAGGCCCCTATCTGTTGATGTTTTTTCTTCTTGTCTCACAAAATAATAAACATGCAAGATATGTAGTTATACTTGGCCATTTCTAATTGTACTAAGGCTTGACAGGAGAATCTAAACAGCATGAAAAGGATGCTGAAATTTTCCGAAGTGCTAATGAAGGTAAAGAGCAAGGTGATTTTGTTGATTATGAATGGGCCAACATAGGAAGTTTTGATGACCTTGATCGAATTTTTAGGTAAAGTAAATTATCTATTTTGCATTATATAATACATGTGTCTTATAGCACTTTGCCACAAGTGTATTTAATATCATTTCATTCTTTTTACTTAATTACTGAAGCCTAAAATGGTCTAAACTTTTCTCTCACCTGTCATCCTATTTATGAGAACTGTGGTAGTATTCATCACTTTTCATTACTGCTCTCACTTTGCCAATCATAGTTTTAGCTCCTTCTATCAAACATGAATGGAAAATTTTGAAGGTTCAGCAATAAAGTAATATCATTAAAAGTGAAAAAAGGGGATTACATTATTTGTTTTTTTTATAACAATTTTACACTTTAAACTAGGATGACTTCATTTTGCCAAAGTTTCAATTTAGAAATGTAGTCACTTGATAGTTTTACACCTCCATGGTTTTCGTCATATGGTGCACGAGATGTATAACATCGGAAAGAAGTTTCAGAGTTCTGATTAACAGTAAATATTTTTAGACATACATCTATTCTTACAGTTATTAGTCATTTATTTGACAGTGGCATCTTTCTGACTGGGTATTCTCACAATTGATGATTTTTCAGCAATGATGACCCTATATTCGGTCATGTAAGTCTTGATAATTCTAATGACCTTTGGTCCTCCAAAGATGTGACCAACAATCCAGCACCTTTACCATTGGATACACCAAGTTTGTCTGGTGCTTTGAGGAACGGAACTGATCCTTTGGAAATCAAAGAAGAGTATGTTCAATGTAATGGTGGCAAATCGTTGGACCTCAGCTATGAGAAGATTGGGATTCCTGCATCCCAAGTTTTACAAAATTCATGCACAATCACAGGTAATGCGGGAAATGATGGAGTTAGAAGCAAGCCTACTGAAAAGGAACGGCAGGTATGCCAATTTTCACAATGATCTAATATTTTCATTATTTATCCTTTTGCAAAGTGGAGTAGTAAATGAATAATTGTTTCCCTTTTCTCTTTTAGACAATATGTTCAATAGCTGTTTATTGTGATATATGTTGGTGTTTGAGGAAAATGGCAAAACTTGGACCCTTGGGACAATTTATGAAAGAAATCGTAGCTGGATTAAGTTTACAGGGAAACCTTTGCAGGGAGCAAGTCCTTTATGTTGGATGCATTTGCAACGGACAATCTTGTTTTTCTTTTACACAAATGAATATGCTACTAAGGGGAAGCTTCTTTATCAATAGGTTCCTCCATTTGTTTGCCTATGGCAACTCATGGTTAAACTATGTAAATCTGATTATCGTTTTGCTATAAAACCAAGGTACATCATATACAACAGACGGGTTGTTGTGAAGCTAAAGAGTAGGAGTTAACAACAGAAAAGAATCCCTGAACATTAACTAAACTAGATCTTATAAAAAGGAACCAATATTCTCTATCAATAATTAACCACTCTTTATTATTGGTATTAAACCAAATCAAACAATCCCCCTCAATCTGATCAATAGAGGTCAATCATTCCCAGCCTGCAAATATTTGAATCAAATTCTAACATTAGTAATGACTTTGTAAACATCTTAGCTTCATGTCACTTGGTTGGCACATAGTGTTGGTTGAAAATTCTTATAGGTCTTGGGTTTGTCTTATTAGAGCCTATCCTAGCGAGATTTGTGTGTGTTGGGCATATCATATCATTCGTTATTGAATTGCTACTGGACCATCCATTAATGTCTAGTCCCATACAAGAGATTTGTGTTGAAAGTACCGCATCGACTAGAGATAAGGCCAATTTAAAGTATATATACGGGTGTAAACCTCACCTTACAAGCCGGTTTTATACGGTTGAGTTAGGCTTAAAGTCCAAAAGAGAAACATTACCACGTCCAGTTATTGGGGTACGAGTCCCATTGGAAACAATAGTGTGGTTACCGAAAAGAGACACATTGGTTAAAAGAGATGAATGAGGGGTTATACGATTTGTCGCACCAGAGTCTAGAACCTAAGAGTCCATACATATAACTTTAGAAACTTTGAAAGAGGAATTGAATTTCTTACTAGTCATGGCTGGAGAGGAAGTACCAATAGTGGACCATATGAAAAGCATGAATTTGGTGTGCTTCTCATTAGGCTTGGAGATCCATGTTGAAAGGACTAGTGAAAAAATGGTCACGGAGGATGTTACCACTATCGTACCCTTGGAGATCTCACATAAACTAGTGATAAGGCATATTTATTGTATATAAGTGGGTGAAAACTTCATCTTACACGCTAGTTTTATAGGGTTGAGTTATGCTTAAAGTCCATTTCTTAAGATAGTATAAGAGTCATTCAAAGCCTATCCTAGCGTGATTTGTTGTTCATTGGTCTTATTGTGCCATCTGCTATCAAGTTGCTATCGGGACACTCATTAATATTTAGTCTCATGCTCGAAATGTATATGCCTTGGCCTGAGATGTGTGTGTTGAAGATCCCACATCGACTCGAGATAAAGTAAATTTACAATATATAAGGGTGTGCAAACCTCACCATACAATACAGTTTTATAGGGTCTAGTTAAGCTTTAAAATTCACTTCTTAAGAGATACCTTGTTAAGAAGAGAGAAGCCATGAAAGAATGTCATGAATTTCGTGTGTTGTCTACACAAGTCTTCTTTTTTATTTAAGAAGAGATACAATAATGAGAAACAATCAATATCTGGGAAATATTTGTTTAGATATTTCCCTACCAAATCGTATGATATCTCCGGATTTAATGTAATCAAATTGTATCTCTAACAATAATAATATTTTCTTTGAATTTCATTCTCATATATGTTTTGCTAAATCTCAGGTTACAATAGTGAAATTTTTCTTCAAGGCAAGACTGGGGCAGATTCTCAAGATACCAAACACAAATTGTTAGATATTGAGTAAAAGAGAAAAATTAATTGTAATTACACTAAAGTTTACAAGATGGGTGTAATTTATCAATTTAAGTAATATATTTTGTTACTAACTTTGACCACAAATATTACCTTCAACAACTGTCAATATTGGTAATAAAATATTTATTATGTAAATAACATAATTTGTTTTCAAAATGATATTAGTTAGAGAAGTAAAAGATAATTACATCAAGTCAGTATAACAAGTTGGGCTTGATTAGCATCTCTGATCCAACTTAAAAGGAGTGTGTTGATAATCATGTATTTTGTTCTTGTTTTGTTTTTTGCTCAGCAATGTTGATAATCATGTGTAATTTGTGTTAATAAGGTATGTCCTTTACCGGAGGTACTAGAGTAGTGATAGTGACCATGTTGGTGTTGGAATGGATAGTGATAGTGACCATGTTGCTGTTGCAATGGACAACTGCTAGTTGTAAATGAAAAGGAATGATACATGGGCAAATGACGCGTATTTCATTTATATTATTGATTTCATCCCTAAGTGCACCGTACCAACATTCCTTGTTTGATATCTCTAGTCCTGTCACTTGTGAACTACTTTGGTTGTTTGGTTTCTATACCTTCTCATTTTGAAAGTTTAAAGTTAAGCTCCAACCATTTTGGCAATATATGGTTTTGTTATCTCCAAAAACAACTTACATTATTTAGGAGTTTATATAGTAGGGGATATTTGTCTTGGTTTCTAGGTTGAGGAAATTTGAAATATGCAACTTCTTTAGAAAGCACTGGTTCCCTGATGGATATCTTTTTTGTTTAAACATTTTTGTGTTTAGAATTGCGCTTATATTGTGTCCTTTGAATGTATTTTTATTCTGATTAGATGTGTATGTCTATCATACATGGCTGAATCTCCTTGGCATAATTATGCGTTACAGCTCTAGCAGAAGATTTATACCTGTTTCCTTCTCAAGGTCAAGTAAGTACCTGATCTCTTTCATTTCATATATATGCAGGTTTTTAGGCAAAAGAATCTTTTGAAAACTCGGAAAAAATCACAGGTAAAACAAGAGGAGAATAACTTGCAAGATTTTTATGGTAATTGGTCTCCTTCAGTAGCACTGGCAAGACAATTTGAGAATGAATTATCACCATCTGTCATACAATCTTCTCCCTCTCCAATTCTTGGTCAACAAAAGCAGATCCAAGGAGCTGAAACCTTATTTCAGAATATTGTAAATCCATATGCGGCGTCTTCTGTGTATGAGAACCTTACTGGTACATATCCTGCTATGCCAATGCTGTCGCAGACTTCATCAGGTGATCTTAGGCAGCAGCCTGTGCTTTCTGGGTACGAGGTGTCTCCTGGTATAATGAATCCTGTGAAAAATTCTGTGGACTCATTCAAACCTCAAATCATGACTCCTCAGGAGAAAATTGAAAAATTGAGGAGGCGGCAGCAAATGCAGGCACTGATTGCTATTCAGAAACAACGGCAACAATTGGGCCATCAAGTCCCTAGTAATAGCAAATCAAGCACCCAGAAATGCCCTCCAGAAATCCCAAGTCATCTCAGTGACGGGACTGATGAAGATCTAAGAATTCCTCCTGCTCCAGATCCACCTATTGAACAAGATGATTCTAATACAATGTCAGTAGCAGTTGGAAATGATTTTGTTGAAGACACCATATTTTACCAACTTCAGGATATTATATCAAAGGTATGGTTGAATTGATACTAGCTAATATTATATAATATATTGAATTGTTTCCTTGTATACTAATCTTGACATGGCTACAATGCCGAGGCAAACTTTTTCTACAGTTGGATATCAAAATAAGACTCTGCATCAGAGACAGTTTGATCCGGTTGGCACAAAGTGCAACTCAAAGGCATTATGCTAGTGATACTAACAGTACAAACAAAAGTAGCAGAGACGAACTTGAAGTTGTGGCAAGAGAAGAAAGCAACAGTCAAAATAGGTAGAAAAATTACCAAATGCACTACAACTTTAAAGGCCATTACTTTCTGCTTTTACAAAGAGCACTTATTATGAATTCAGTATGATTCCATCATGATTAACATCAAAAGCAGAATAGGAGGAAAATGCCATAGGTTTATGTGAAAATTTCTGGTGCTACTGAGTTCTGTGTTTTTCCTTTTACCTCACTAATGGACAAATGGGCAAATTTAAACAGAAAATGTTGGGAGTACATTATGAGTAAATTATCTGGTGCTTGAGTTTCTTGCTGTTATATTCTTGGAAGTTCAAATCTTCCTCTATTTGGGGTACTTATTCATGCGTAGGGGTTGTTTCACTCTTATAGGGCACTCAGTAGCTACAGAAAGATCCAAGAGGAGGTTCTTGAATGATTTTATTATGAACACAACTGTTTTGCCAATGTGGCAAGAATACAACCAAGATGTCTCAGAACACACAGGTCTTCCTAGAGGACCTTAACTCTCCCAAATCTTTTTCCTCCTAAACTCCAAAAGCTGACTAACAGCCTAAACACAGACTTATATAATAGTCTGTTTTACAAGGTTACAACTGTGGAGGTTAGAACTGCCTCCTTTATTTATTTCTCCTAGTATAGACTTTACCCCTGAACCTATCACACTCGTGTCTAGGAAGTGTGGCACTTTTACTCATAAATAGTAGCTAAATAGGTTACACCAAGTAAACATCAATTCATGGAGTAGGGCTTCAGTTTATAGTTTACCTTATTTGATATTTCAGTATTATCTCCAAACTGCAGTATAACTATAAGCATGTTTATCTTGTAAAACAACAACAATGAATTTAGAACCGTCATTGTTTTTACTGTTTCAACCATGATCTCAAATAGGTTGATTTCACTTTAAAGATGCTATGTATCATCAGCTTGATTTATCTCTAAAATTGCTATGTTGCTAACTATCTTTAGTGTATGAATTTACTGTATCAACCATGATCTCAAGTAGGTTGATTGCACAAGTTGCTATGTATCATCAGCTTGATTTAACTCTAAAGTTGCTATGTTGCTAACTATTTTTACTGTACGAACCATGTTGGTATTACAGATATGCCAGGATGCCAGATGTTGAAACAGAAACGAATCCCATTGATAGAACCATAGCCCATTTACTTTTTCATAGTCCTGTGGAGCTAACCCAGAACTATTCTGACAAGCTTGAGTCACCTGTTTCTACTAAGGTGCAATGTGAAAGCAAAGCAGCTAACCTGGTGAACTTTCCCATGAGTTGCTTACCAGACGATGACTCGAAAAACAATCAACAACTTTCTCACCTTGGGCTGAAGAATTCCTGGTTTGATACCCAGTCTATGGATCAAATTAGAAACAGTCCCTGCCTAGACACTTCTGAGAATGCATCCAACACGCAGGAACTTGAAGCCTCTCAATGAAGAAGAAAGAGGGCTCTCCAGATATTTGAAGGTAAACCCTTCCTTATTTCTTTCAATTATATATGTATTTACTGGTAATTCAAATGTTTTATTTTATTGTCAGCCACTCAGATCATAAGCAAGCACAGTTATCGCTGTAGAATCCTGGGAACCAGTTTCATGGTTGTCATATTATTATCGTTTCTTCTGTTTCAAAACATGACGGAGTGTGTATATCAGTATCTGACCATACTTAAGGTCGCGAGTGCTATGTTGTATCGTTCATAACTGCAACAAAAATGCCTAGCACTCAGATGTCAAATTTAAGTCTTTGACTGACTGACTTAGACCAGGTTTTAAAGTTTATGTCGTATTTCTTTAAGTTCTGTCACTATTTGAGATTGAGCCATAAACTTAATATTTTTAATGTGAATTTAACTTTTTCACCATTTATGTCAAAATACTAAGAGAGATATATCAAGCCATAATATTTCTGTTCATTTTAATTGAATTTTCAGGTTGACTGGCATTCTTATATGGGACAGTTTACTCGGTTAGTCTCCCAAATTCCCATAGATTGTATTTCATGTCGATGCTTATATTTGCCATGCTTTTTGAAGGCAAAGTAGATTGTTAGTGGCATTTTGATAGTGCACTCAATACCTGCTGTAAACTATTTTCGTCCTTGCCTGCAGCTTGAGTGCATGATATAAGCTAAAAAAATCATCTATTTAATTCTCAGATTTTTTTAAAGTTGTTACCGCTTTCTATGTTGTCTGACGTTGAAGAGTGTTCAGGTTCTTAATATGAAAGAAATAGATTATGGGGATATAATGGCGATGAGGACACATGGTTAGGATTGAGCAACCAAGCTATAACCTTCCACTCAGGGTTGCTTCGGCATGTTTCTTTTTATTTAAAACTCTTATTCTTTTTTCTATATAAAATACGGAAAAAGATTAATAATATATACGTGGGATGAGATATATCAAGGTGGGGATTTCTTCCTGCACCTCCCCTTTTTCCCTTCCTGCACCCCAAAAAAACTCTTAATCCCAAAATAACGCTCATCCCAATCTTCCTCGCCCCTTCACTCCTCACCCACATTTTGCAAGTGAATATTGCACAGGAGCTTTTACAAGTGAATAATGCAAAGAGTTTTACTCCTTGCACCTCCCCCACTTTTTTCTTGCATCCCCACATTCCAAAAATACCCTTCTTCAACATATTTCGAAATGTTGGGTGGTGAAGGAAATATGCAAGACTCAATTTGGAAAGTTAGTTTGCACAGGAAAACCCTTTAAATTTAGGCATGGTTCCCATGCGGAAGAAGTTAACTAAGAGTGTTATCTTTTACAAAATTCACAACGAAGTTTATAGTCAAAGAAGGGAGGTTTAAAAGATATAGAGGACAAAAGGTAGTTAGGGATTTTTTGTGTGCAAAAAGTAAAAATTTATAAATTACAAATTATAAAATTATGAAGTCATTGTAAAATTATAAAATATGAAATTATCAAGTTATAAAGTTATAACTTTATAAAGTTATAAAATTATAAGATTGTAAAATTATAAATAGAAAAAAATAAGTAAATAGGAAAAATCTAACAATAAACACTCAATTGAAAAAGTTTAAAAATTTGGAGAATTCAGTGTAACACAAATTTAATAATTACTCAATTGAAAGTTTTCAGACTTTTTACAAAACTTAAAACTTAATTAAATCTTTTCTAAATCTATTAAAAAATCATCTTAATTAAACTTATTAAGACAGAAAAGTCAAAATCAAAAAGGTCTAAATGAAATAGCTATGTATAAAAATTAAAATTAATATTATTTGCCATGTAAGAAAATAGACTAAATGATTTAAGAATAGTTTCTTTTAATTATTACACTTCCAATAAGTTTTAATTATATAATTTATACTCAATTTATAACAAAACTTATGTTACTTAAATAATGTTTAGAAAGTATATCAATATTACTCCAATTGTATCTATCTAAATTAAAGTAATACATAATTCTTAAAATGTATACAACCTATAGGATTACCTCTTGTTACTTTTTCTTTTTTAAATTACATAAGCAGAAGGTAATGCATGTGTATAACTCTCGGCTTTTTCTTATTAAAGAATCCATATCCTTCAATGTTTTAATTTTTTTACCAAAATTTCATTATTACAATAATTATGAAATTAAAAATTAATATCAAAGTTAAAATAAATTATAAAAATAAGTATATACACAAAGCAAATCAACTAAATTAGTTACAATTATATAAACAATAAAACGTAAAAAAATGTAGTTTAGAGCAGGCCTATATCAGAGTGCTTGATATAAAAATCAAGTTCTTTTTGAAAGTTTGAAGCTCAAATTTTTTATTACGGCTTTCTATTTCATAAAAAAATACAAAAATGTAACATATTTGTAATACAAATATCACATCAGTTTAATTTAGTATATAATACGATAAATATTATAAAATATCAAATTATCTTCGTTTTTTAAAAGAAATCATGTTAGCGCATCTCATCGAATGTAAAAGTTCCTTTTATCATATGTTCCCTGATAAGACCTATGTATCCTTTTAAATTGGTCACAATAAAGGAGGGTTATAGGTATGCTTTATATTTTAATGAAAAATCAAGATAGAAGTTGTTTTTTACTTAAAATAATTAGAATATGAACTTTTGTTGATTTAATTCCTTTAAAAATCCAACAGCTTCTTGATAGAATTTGAAATGTATTATTTTGAATTCTATTTTTCAAAACCCTGAAAAGCACTAAAAATTTGTGAGAGAAATTTTTTTAATGAAAATAATTAAAATAAAGGAACTTGAGACGTAAATAACATCGAAAAGTAACATATGGTGACCAAAAAATTTGACCTAATTAAGAAAACATAGAAGAACATATTTTTAGTAGCCTAGATTAAAAAAAAATCATTAACCTACCTTAAATTTCACATTAACTAATCTAACATATGTGATGATAATATAATTCTACTATATTTCTAAGTACATTTAAAAATGTTCTACTAATAGCCTCCTCTTGCAATGGCTCCACCATAATAAACTTTTTGCCATCATTGCTTACAGTTTTTAAAGAGATATAACATATAATTATTTTTTGTTACCTTAAGCATCATATGAAACAGATGTACTATGCAACACAACGGTAAGTCACGTGAGAATCAACCACTGGACCACTATGAGTGATTCTGACAACTTGTCCTTTCTCCAGCCCATAATAGCGAGCTATACCATCAGTTTTTAACATGCAAGGAAGCTGAAAAAGACATTCTCATTTATGCCACTACCAATTCAAAAATAGTAACTATTTTGCATAAAATTCCAAAATACAATTAATAGTGTTTATTACTCAACTCTTAAATCATGTAACAAGTTAACCTAAAATAGTTAAATTACTAGTTAAAGTACATTAGCAGAGTTATAAGAATTCACTCAAATAGAAAATGCAGACATATCTAATACATAATTCTAAAACAAAGGAATATGATGCTTTAATTCTTTTTTCAGCTAAAACATATCTAATTCATAATGTATATTGTTAAAGGTAGTTTCCAAATATGCAAATTTTCTCATAATTTCTTATGAATAGAACAGTTTAGAAACATATATTTTACCTGCTTCTCTTCCAAGCTATGCTTGGTGAGCAGTGCTTTCTTCTCTTCATCAGTCAGTATCTCATACTTTGGTTGTAAAACATGCTTTGTAATGTTGATCAGCAAATCTTCAAACTAAGAAAGAAAAAAATAAAAGTATATATATCAAATACCCTCATGCATCAAAATTTATATATATTCTAAACAAGGACAAGATTATATATGAATTTAATTATTGTTCTCGAAAAAAAAATGCATCATTGAACTACATATAAACACATATTTTTACAAAAACGAGGAACGTCTCTGATTTTAAAATATTTTATGGGTTTAATTGTTTTTCTCTCCTTCTGCTATAATGATTTTTCCACTTTTGTTAATGTTTTCGATTTGTTTCAAATTTTTTTAAAAAATAAACCAATGTGAGAACCTATGTCAAATCATAGTAATTTATGTCAAACAATTAAATCAGCAAGACAAAATTAAAAAAAAATCATTATAATAATTAAAAAACATTAAGCTTACTTTATATTATACATTAAAAAATTAAATAATAAATAATTAAATTATGTTCTCTTTGTGAGAGAGCAAAAGTCGGTTCGATTTCACAGTATTCAATATATAAAAATATATATATATATATATATATATCTATATATAATATATATATATAATATATATATAAATTTAAAATCCTACACATATTATACAATTATTCAAAAGATTCTCCACTTAATTTCCATAAGTTATCAATCATTAAAGTAAATTTTATTGAATGAAAATGATTTGTTACCCTGATAATCTCAACTTTGTATGGCAAGTTCATCAATTTTTTCTGTGCGAAGGAAGTGAGTTTGCTCTGCACATGATTATGAGCGATTTCAAGTTTCCGCTGTCGACAATCCGGCTGCATATTTCCATGACGGTTCCCATTTTTATAGCATCGGTTCCGGCAAACGCGACCTGGACCTGCACGCCAAAACGATGAGGAAAAATACAGAGAAGGGAAGATAAAAGGGCGAGGAGAGAAGTGAGAAACATGCGTACAGTGTTGGAGGGATTGGAGAGATGCGAAACGCAGAAACCGAGGGCTTCATGGTTTGGTTGTTGACCGAAGCGGGAACGGAAGTCGCTCAGCGAGGAGATGAGGTTTGCGTGCTGAACGACGTCGTAGCCTCTGTCTGCGAGCATTTCCAACACCGTTCGACGGCTCAGGAAGTAGCGACTGCTCTCAACGCTCCCGTTGTCTATCAAACTTGCGATGCAATCCATTGTCGCTGCAAAATGTAGATGCAAATGCAAATACAAATACAAATGAAATTATCTGTCGTTTCACCTTTTCTGTTATGGGAGAGTGAGGTATAGTATATATCTAGTGGGAGGAGGGTATTTAGACTACACAGGCACATGCAATAGTGTGTGTGACCTTTGCCTTTAGTCCTAATTATTTAGGAAAACTATACATAAATATTTAGAAAATTCGTATATAAATAAGTATTCGGATAAATATATATTAAAATTAAATAAATCAATATTTAGAAATACATATATTTTAAAGAAATTTAAATCACCAAATTTTTTAAAGAAAAATTTGTATAAAAAACGAAATTTTGTAAGAAAGTAATGTAATGTCTGTAACAACTCTTTAAAAGTGGAATTCCCTCGATTACCAGGGTTCCTACCAAATTTAAGTAATAAATAGCATGTATGAGCACATATATATTAAGTGTAATTACATAGATAGGAGTTTTTGAAATAAAATAAAGTAGTTACATAACTTGAACCAAGATAGAAAAATCAGTAGTACGCTTATGGTTCATATGATACAGAAAACATCACAAACTTCCACTATAATTCTTCATATGTATGTTCCACTAGAACTCATGTCTGCTTTGTTTCCGTTGCCTTGTCCGTCTTTTTCTTTTACGTTTTCAAGATGACTTCTTCAAATGGAACATCCAACGTGACGTCTCATTCCCAGCAGTTCTTACCCAGGATTGATCCTTGTCTCACCATCCTTGACCTAGACAAATTACAATTTTTTTGGAGTAGAAATATGAAGAGAGCTTTTCTATCCAAAAACAATCTAAAGTTTCTTGATGGTAGCGTTAAGATTTCTTTTTTAAATGTTAAGGATCACAGTTAAAACGTTTATTTATTTCATCAAATAAATGTTCACTCAATAAAATTTATTTTAAATAACAAAAACACAATTTAAACTAGTTAATAATTAAGATATATCTTAAATACATATAAAAATAAAGAAAACGGTATTCCAAAAAAACTTTTTTGTTATTTTGTATTTGAATTACCACTTACAGCGTTATCTACTTACATATAACACAAGTTTTACATCATCATTAACTTAAAAAAAATATAATAATTAATCTTTCTTTAATTTCATATAATAGTAAAAAATTAAATGAAAATGATTGTTATATCATTTAACAAATATAAATCTAAATGTAAACACAACTCAAGAGGTTCAATAATAACATACCTCACATGTAACTTATCATCCAAAATGACCTCATTTTTAGAGTAAAAACCACTATCTCTCTTAACTCCCTAGGAATCTCCAAATATAGCCTACTTTCCGTTATCTCTACAAAAGTCCAAAGGTATGACTTTCCTAGAGAGTTTCTTCTCTGACGAAGTTCAACCTTCGGTCAAAATACAATCGAGTCCAAACTTCCCCGCTTACTCTCCCTGAGATTCACAACTGGAGTTTTCAGGGTTAAAAAAAACCCCTAGAGCCTCTTCACCTCTAGTTGAGAAGCACTGCGCATTGTTGCTCTCTTAGGCCCTGTTCTCTTGAGTGAGATTTGAGGACATGGACGCGCTTTGGTTTGCCCTACTTTTTCGTTTTTGCGCGACTTGCGGCCTGACGAGGCCTTTGACCTACTTTGCCTTTTCGCTTGTCGTCTGCTCTGACCCTTTTCGATTCAGCTATCATAGTTAACCTGCAAATAATTTGCTCGAAAAGAAAGTAATGACGCATATTAAATTATTAAACACTATTTCATGCTCAAACGATAAAAAATTTGTCAAATCCTCTCAAATCCCCTCAAATCCACTCAAGAGAACAGGACATTAAAAGAACCACAACTGAGAGTCCTCAAGGAGTCCAAAACCCCATTCACCTTTAGCAAAGATGCATCACTCCTTGCTGCTGCTCCCAAGACCATAGTGAAGTCCTCAAATTTAACTCCTAGAGCTTCCTTAAGGTCAGCTCCCAGAGGCCCCTCCCCTTCGAGGCACACGCTTCTCATCTACACCAATTCCAATCACACTATGCAAGTATTAAGGTTCATAATTCACATTCCCATTTCTTATTATCAAACAACCACCATACTTAAACTCAGTATCAATTACTACATGTAGTATACAATTAGGCACACCCAACAATCCCTATACTAAAAGTCATATAATCTCGCAATTGTCACCCAATTTAATTTTTAGCCCAACTAAATCACTCATTATTCACTCAATTAGCTATAACCACCAATCTTCATTCAATTTACATTATTTAAAATTTAAAAGTTTATATAAATATAATCATATCCACGACAACTTTAATAAAAACCCAAATCTACATTTTATTTTTCTTTATTTTTTTTTCCAACACAATATAACCCAATAACCCAAACTTCTATATATCATCATAAAATATTAATCGTCAAACTAAATTTTTTTAACACAAATAAAATAATCAAAAGCCTTATTATTTATACCCAAAAATATATATTATACTATTATTTAATCCTTAAATACACATATAATAGAAAAATAAAATCGCAATTTTCAAACTTGTTAACTTTAGAATAATTCACATGTGATATATTATTGGGTTAAGTATTTTTTTAGTCCCTAATTTATGAAGCAAATTTATTTTTAGTCTCTCTTTCAAAGTAAGGTACATTTTAGTTCTCCATCTTTAGGAAACCTTAATTTTTCGTCCTCAAAACTAACAACGTTAAAAAGAAGCTGAGCTGGCTAACGGTGAAGTGTCACGTCATTTTTTTTTCTGACACTGAGTTAATCTGTGTCCCATCGTCCGGTCACCATCATCATTCAGTCACCATCATCATTCAGTCACCATCACCGTTCGATTACCATCACCATTCAGTCGTCATAACCGTTCGGCCATTACCAATACCGTTTACTCACCACCACCATTCAGTTATCATAATCGTTCGTCCATTAACAATACCGTTCAGTCATTACCGTATGGTGAGGGACAGATTGACTCAGTAAAAAAAATGACATGTCGCTCCACCGTTAGCTAGCTCAGCTTTTTTTTAACGTCGTTGGTTTTTTAGGACGAAAAATTATGATTTCCTGGGAGGAGGACTAAAATGTACCTTAGTTTGAAAGAGGGACTAAAAATAAATTCGCTTATGAGAGACTAAAAACATATTTAACCCTATATTATTTAACCATATAATAAGATATTTTATTCTACAATTATGTATAATCAGCTAAGTATATACATTTGTTTTCCAAATTTTATCATTCATAATTATACTTATTGTCAAGTCAGAGTCCAAATGAAAGTTGAATTCACTCTCCATGTTTCTATAATTATAAGGACACAAAATTTTAATGTAATAATAATGATAATTTAAATAAATATTACTATATATTATTTATTCGATCTCTTAAAGTTTTAAACCAATAATGATACTCTTCACTTTTAAATTTTTTATTTTAATTTTAATCCAACTATAACCTTAAATAAAAAACATTTAATAAAATTATTGATAAACAATTTATATAAAAATTAAATTTAGTCTCAATTTAAAAAGATACAAAATTATTTTATCTTTAATAAAATAAAACTAAAACAAAACCATAAAATTTAAATTAAATATAAAACATTGACTACACAATTTTACTTTAGCATGTGAACATATTTTTTTAAATTAAAAAAAATTATAAAATTTAAAAAGATTTTTAAAAATTAAAAAAGTTCACATTTAAAAAGTATTAGCAAAAAGAACCTTATTAAAAAATTAATTAAAATTGAAGATTAAATTAAAGAAATGTTAAAATTAAATTAAATAATTCAAGAACCAATATTTTTTTTGAAAAAAAAACTAAAATATTCGTTTCGTTGGATGCATAATAAAAGCCAAACCGAACCTAAGGAAGAAGAGGGACATGGAGTTGGTTCACAGAAGAACACGAGGCCAATGATGGATGACCCACCACTGAAGCAACACTTGAAGAGGTCGCAAAGGACAAAGTCATCCTCTTCTTCTTCTTCCCATATCAGCAATCTCGATGATGGATGTCTTATGCACATTTTCAGCTTCCTTCTCCCTATTCCAGGTATAACCCCTTCTTTCTCCTTTTTTCCCCTTGACCTCCTAATTCCTTTTCTCTAAAATTTCAATCTTTTTCGCCCAATTCAACAACACCCTTGTTTTTGTTTTGTTCAATTTTGCTACTTTGATGTGCCTTCGTGAGATTTATGGTACTTAACCTGCTTTTAAGCTGGCAATTAGCAACATGAACTAGGTTTTGTTTTTATATCTCACCCTCTTTGTAAATATTTTGATTAATTGGTGTTTAACATTTTTTTATTTCTTTGCTTTTGTTGTATTATGAGAATGAAAAGCTTAAAATTTGATACCTGAACCAACTTGTGTGTTGGGTATGTGGTCAAAATTTGGGGCCTTAAGATGGATAATTGTGAAATGAAAATACAACCATGCTCATGTTTAGTTTCATGTTATGCAAGTTTAGTGAAGCCTCTAAAATGAATTTAACAACTTACAATCCCCATCCTTGTTGACATGATTGTATTCTATCCATAGTTTTCCGTCATCGAGCTGTTATTTTAGCTAGTAAATTGGACCTGCATCTGTTATTTGATGCTGAATGCATTCATGTTGGAGAGTGTTTCCTTGCTGATAAATCTATTTTGGCTCAATATTGTGTTTTTATCCTCTCGCCCTCTCTGTTTGGTTTTCTTGTTCAGCCCATATTTGTTTTAAGGACATGATATTATAATTTTTGAAGAGATTGGGCAGGTGAAAGCCCTGCTACAATGTTAGCTTTTCTCTATTATTTCTGCTTGTTTGAGATGATGTTATATCCTTACTCTCTTGGTCCTTACACTTGGATATTCTCATCAATTAATTTTCCTTCTATGGAAGAAAGAAGAAATTAAGAAATTAATAACATACTGCAGATCATTCTCTATCACAACGTTGCTATTGAGTTTGCAGATCGCTTTAATACCGCCCTCGTTTGCCACAGATGGAATTATTTGGCATGTCATCCTCGCTTGTGGCTTCGGGTAGATAGATCAGTGAAAGACTTATCCGAACCTGGTGTTTTCCCCAACATTGAAACTGCCGTTACTGCTTCAAGGCATGTAAAATTAATGCTATTTGTGTATGATTTTAGATTTTTCTTCAGGGTATGGATTCTAATCGTCACTTTCTTTCATTCAGACCAGGTGATACCATTTTAATAGCAGCTGGTGGAAGTCATCACGTCGCAAACATTCAAATAAGGAAACCACTTTGCTTAGTGAGTTATCCAATTTGTGTGTGTGCGTAGATTATTCTACCTTTAGTCAGATTTTTGAATCTCATCCAGTTTCCCCTAACAACCATCCTTGAGATTAGGCATTTGACTTTTAGAGTCTATCCAAAGCTAACCAAAGGTGCATTTTTTAATGGGGTTTCACTGGTTGAGATATGATAGGAACTTGGGTTTTCTGGGTTGCCTAAGTCCCACATCGAGTGGTATGTGATGCTCCAAGTGTTTGGTTCTCCCTCCTTAATAGTTAGCTTTTAAGGTTGGGTTCTACAAGTGCTTGGGTACTTCTTAGCAAGATATTTGGATTGATATTGGGAAACTTTATTGTTTGTTGCATCAATTTTCACCTTTTTTGTCTTTATTGTTTGCTGTTTGGTTATTTTTCTGAGTACTGAGCAGGACTCCTATCTCTTAATTTTTTGTTTCACAAAAATAAGACATGATTGTGCATCCCTTCTGCTCTCTATAAGGTTATCCCAATTTGTTTAGGTCAACTAGTGATGTTGCAAATAAGTAGATTTCAAAAATTTCTATGTCGTGGATTGGATTTATTATTAACACTAGATCAGGAGTTGGTTTCATTGAAGTATGGGTAAGAACCGCAAGTTGGAGTGATTAGGTGACCAAATTGGCAAAAAGAACATTAAAAATGGAATCAGAATGCAGAAAAGAAGCACAGCAAGAATGTTCAGACTCCATTGCCAACAAGAAGAATTTTCTCAGATTCGGATGCGTCTACCATCACAATGGAGATTAAGAAGCACTATTTTCTTCTGCATCCAATCGCCACCCCAAAAGTGGTTGAGGTTGATGACATGTTTGGAAGTCCTCTTTTCATGATGATGCTTGTGCTTTTAATCCCATTGGATAGAAAATAGGGAGCTAAAACAAGATTTTTCATTTGTTATTGTTTTCTAAAATGATATTTCAGAACTGTATTAAAATAATATTAATAAAAGGACTAAAACAAACAGTGCTACTGGTTTCACTGCTAATTTCATGCACTCGAATTCATTACTGGTAGTTAGAGGTTGTCCTACCTTCTCGTGATTCTAATTCTCAAGGAAGCATTAATGATAGAAAATCTCCATATTTTTGGTTTTCCCAAATCAATGTTGTTTGTTCAGATTGGTGCAGGTGAACTTCCAGATGACACAACACTTGTTTGTTCTCGAGGCTCAGACAGGTTTGCTTTCCTTTCATTTAAACTTTGTATAGTGTGTTCTTGTGAGGTAGTAGCTAGGAACCACTTCTATGCTGCTGGGTTTATATGGATAAGATTCTTGGCCAAACAGAAAGGTCTATATCCTCTTTCAATGAATGTTAGTTCATAATATCTGTAGCCATCTCAACCATTATCCAGTAGCTTGGAAAGGACTCATGGAAACAAAACAAATTCTCATAGAAAGATGTCTTTTACTTTCGTCCTTGATGATCATTACATTTTCGACTGACATTTTACAAAATTATAAGGGATAAGTTGGTTTCAGCCAATGCCATTTTGCAAAGTTAGGGTGTATTTGAAACATTGAACTGAACAGAGGTTTTATTCTTTCCAATGCATTGAGTCAAAAGTTGTTTGTTTGGAATCCAAACATCCTTAAAGATTGAAGTGAAAATTTCACAATATCATCATGCATTATAATGTTTACAATCTTGGTCAACATTAATTTTATCCCTTGAAAAGTACCACCAGATAATACAATATTCAACAACACTTGGTATGTGTTTTTTGTTTTGTTGGAGCAGTGCACTAGAGTTCCTATCCACATGCAAATTAGCAAACTTAACTGTGAGGGCTGAGCTTGGTTGCTGCTTGCTACATAGAAAGGGAAGGTTAACTATAGATGGATGCATACTTCAATGTGAATCTAATCCTCTGGATTATCTCTCATGTCCCATTGTGAGTACAGCCAGTAGTAGCAGTGAGGTGCTTCCCTCACAAACCAAGAGTAACAGTGATGGTGTCTTTGTTTCACAGACCCGAATTGAAGGGGGTGCCAAAGCTGTTCTAACAAGTGGGGATTTGGCTTTGCAACGTGTGAGAGTGATTTATGCTCGAACTTCACTTCTTTTCTGGTTTGATGTAGAGCAGATGTGTGATCAAATTGACCATGACAAGCCTCTCTGATATCATTATTTGTTCTGGTTACCTAGACTTGTCTGTAACTTTAGTAGTGATTATGGTATTTTCATTCTTTGACTTGTGCTCTTTTGGTTCTTGTGATTTACTATTAGAATGTCTTATAAGCAACAAACATTCAGTTTACCATGGTCTTCATAATGAGTTGTCTACATTTAATGCAATAATTTATAAGGCAAGTTACTCTCACATATCATGATATTGAATATATGATGGACGAATTGGACATTGGATGCCACGCTTATTTGTTACAGGGATTCATCACATCTTGAGAAATATAGGACATGATATGTTTAGAGTTTTAGATTCATTTGGAGTATGTATCTCTGTATATATATAACTCAATAAAATAAACGCCAGTGTAATTTTTTAAAACAGTACTAAAATTGAAAATCATTGCTTAATATGATTCAAATTAAACATATTAAATATATTAAACTCAAATGTATGTATGAACTACTAGAATTATCAGAGTATGGTTTTAAAACATTGTTATATATATATATATATATATATTGATGAGTGGAGAAAGAAACACCCAACATTATATAGTACTTTTCCGTATATGATTGAGAAGAATTTACTAAATTATATTAATCAAATTCTTTGCATTATGTTTGTTGAGTAATTTAGAGATTCATTACTTAAAATTTTTTATTAGCAATAAGTTAAATTTTGATGCTTATTCATACGGTCTTCACACCTTTCGAAGCTTCAATCAACACATAATGTATTTTTGTTTTTATTGTCAACAACCAAATTATGAATAATCTGCTATTAAATTGAAAACATCAAACTTCAATACAAAATATTTCTAACATTATAAACACTGCACACAACAAAAATCATATCCATTAACATACCAGGCACGACTGAAATTTAATGAAACACTCGATCCAAATATCATGGATAGGCCAATCAAAAAAGCTTGTTCAATGTCAATTCCAATTCCCTTATAATTGATTTTATCTCTTATTTAGATTTTTTGGATTGAAAATTTGTATACCCTCATTTTCTTAATCAACACATAAAAGGCAAATACATTAGTAATACGAATAAAGAGTAGGATGCTTATGCAGATAGAAGTTTGAGGTTTTATCAACCTATTCCAAAGCTTTTTAACTCTAACTAAGTTATTTTTTCTTGCATAAAGAATTACCTTCAATTAAAGGTAGCTGTATAAAAGTACGAATATTTAGTATTGATTTCAAGCCATTTTTTTTCAAGTAACAAGTATTTACAAAATAACATCGTATTATTTCACCAGTTTTAAGACAAAATTAGTTTAATAGATAAAATTTTATTTTAAAAATAATTTGTATCAGGCACAATATTAATTAAAAAGTTAAACAATATAAATTAAATAAATAATAAAAATGATTTCTAATATAATAACAAATTCAAAATATTAATTTATTAAAAAATAAGATGTGAATCACACAAAAAGTGTCCTTACCTAAAACAGAATGTGTAAAAGTTCAAAAAATGAAGATCAAAATTTCATATGCATTTTTGAAGACAATCCCTTCTACTTAGAACATGATTTTAACAGGTTAAATCTTACATTCAACCGTTTCTTGTTTTTAAGAGAAAAAGAAAGAATAGGTTATATATTTAAGATAATAACTTATATTTGTAAATAAAAAACTTAAAAGAATAAGTTACCTTCTACAATATTAAAATTTTGTCAATTATATTTTGGTGACATTTTTCCTTTCCAGCTTCGTACACTCCTCTTATAAAAAAAACTTGTTTTTTGTTTCATAATAATAAAACTAATTATCTTTAAATTACTTTTTAATAATATTATCAAAACACAATTATTTATAATAATAATAATAATAGTAATATAATTAGTTATTGTATTAGCCTAATTTTTACCTGCAAACATTCTCTCGAAAATTTCACATTTATTACATATCTAACCATTATTATTATATAAAAGTGGTTCCAAAGTTCATCTTATTAAATTGATTTTATGAAATTAAATTAAACCTAAATTTTATTTTCTTTAAGATGTTATTAGATTATATTCTAATTTACTTTAATAAACTTATCATGTCATCCACTTTCAGATTATCTAATCTCATTCTAAGATATTCCGTTCTTAACATGAAAAGGTGTTATAAATCTCATATCAACTAACTATATAACTAAATTATAATATATAAATACAAACTTCACTTTACTGAGATTGAGTTAGAGTTAAATTTTATTTTCTTAAGTCATCTTTTAGCTTTATTAAGTAAAATATTTTTTCTTGTCCAAACAAGAAGTTAGAGTCCCAACTCATCAACTTTCTCAAACAATTTGTATATAATGTCTAAGAAGCTGTTATAATTTATTAATTAGTAAACAAATACTAGTAAGCCTAAGTGATTGCCCATGACCAGACAAAAAATTGAAATGACTATAGTAATAGTAAACAAATACCCGTTAGAATCTTCCTATATATTTTCCCCTGTTAAAATTTCTCATACAAGACTTATTTTCTTGTACATATATCACTATCCCGCCATTCTCAGAGAACATCTCAAACAACCTGAAAATTGAGCACCAAATGTCATTAAATAGACTTTCCTTTAAAACAAAATCCATTGCAGATATCAGTGCAAAATCCTTAAGATGGATGGATAACAGCAACGTTGATAATTGACTGTTACAGTGAAAAATCATCGATAATATGTTTGTAGTGAAGAATTGCATGTTGAATTTCTAATTAAAATGCTTATTCAAAATTAGCCCTCATAAAAAAGAATGAAGACTGGTGAAACAAGGAGTATACAATTATAGAAAGAAACTCAGGTCACTATTACTAGGTGCGTTGCGTGCCCTTGTTTCATAAAAACCAAGTTCTACATAAATCTTTTCTA